TCATTTAGAGCTTTACATTTTTTGTGAAACAAATAATGATGTAATTCTAACTTGTGAACCAAAATTTGCTTTCAACTGGAGGTTGTACTGATCAACTTATGGAATACTTCATCAAACAATACAATTTTATACATTTCTTATCTGCCTTTGTGATTAAGATATCTTCGCAGATAAGAGGCATGGAGGGGGTCATTTATGAAGTATTTGAAAATATTATTGTGTTATACCTTGGCTTTAGCAAATGTGCATGCATTTGACTGATAAGTGTAAGGGGGCTAATGACCCTCAATGACTGTTTGTTTGGCAGAGCTTATCCTTCAACTTGTTTATAAGCACTTTTTTCTCTCACAAGCCTAAAGAAGTATTGGGGGGAAACTCTACTTTTTAGCATTTGAAATGCTTAGAAGAATGTATTGAAGAAAGTGAGTGAGGTGCTAATAAAAAACTCAAAACAGCTCTGCCAAAGAAATGCTGTGAAAAAAGGGAGGTCAAAGAAATGAAGAATCTGAAATGTTCTCTAGATATTTTATGAGAACTTACCCTTTTTTGAATATAGAAATGCACGTAATTACCTTTTTCACTAATTAAAAGCATTTATATGCATAGAGCCCGAACAATGGTTCTGATGGGCATCAGAGTAGCAATTCCAAGTGGATTTCTAATGATGAGCAAAATGCATCTGGAAATGGAAACACTCATGGAAATCCAGATCTCAATGTTGGTGATGCAAGCAGTATGCCTTTCTTGCGTTTGTATTCTCTTTTTATATTTTTGTTGCATTTTAGTTGCTTATTTGCATGGCTGATAGGAAACAACCAGGGAACTTTTCTTGTGTTCTGTAAATATGGTTTGCCTATTTCTTGATTCAATTTTGAATGGATAAATGCCGCAATTGGCTTGGAGCAAATTTATCTATCTAGCATTGTAATGCTGGCTATAACCTTAGCACCGTAAGATATATTAAGTCCATAGACCAGAGAATGAGTAATTGAGGTGAGAGGTTTACAACATGCATCATTGAAGCTGTTTGAGTTTTCTAAATCAGTGTTATTCTCCATTAGTAGTTTAGATCAAATTATTTCTTGAAAAAGACAAAACGTCTTGTCTGATCCCTTTCAGTTTCATTTTTTTGGTAGTCTTTCTTATGCTGTTTTTCTGTTTTGGATTTCATAATAGTATTGGCTTTCCATCTTTGGTATTGCTGTTGGAAGCAATGTCCAGATGCTAATTTTCTGTGCTCCAAAAGCAAGCCTTAATCATCTTTCAAATCATCTCCTGTTATCCCTTAGTTGATGCATGTGAAAGAGCAGGAGCATTCTTTCTGTGCCTCTTGATCCCAATTGCATATGGCAAGGGGCATTTAAATGATGAGAATTGCTTTTTAAAGTAAGGTTGATGTACTTGAATTCTATTCAATTAGTCATTATTTTTTGACTTGCTTGAAAATTTTGCTGAGGTCGTAGAAGTTGCTTTCCAGTCATATGCTACATGTGGTGTAATGATCTTTATATGGATGTTGCTTGTCCAAGCAAATCCTCTCATGAAGAGTTATATGTGTTGCAGCTATTCTATCTTCCTTTGAAGTTTGAATGCCTCTTACCAATGCAACTTTCTTTCTTTTTTTTTTATTCGTGTGGAACTTGTTTACCCTTAATTAGTTTCTTAATTTTAACGTGAGTTCCAGGCATTTAACTTTCGGACAACTTTGAGAAACGAACCATTCTTGCCGCTTTTCCATTCTCTATATGTATATCCTTTAACTGTGAGCTTTGAGTAGGAAAAGGAATCTATTCATAAGAGTTGAGCTAAGAAAGGATGATGCAGATGTTTGTAGACAACCTTTAGAGGTAAAATTGTTGATTGATACTTTGCACTATGATTTTTAAACTCGTCTTATTGTTCTTTCTGTGTTACTGATATGACTAGGCAATGTATCCAAGGGAACCTGGTTTATCACTTCAGAAGTGGGCTCACATGCAAGTTGCTGTTGGTGCTCGGGTGGCCTGCTACCATGATGAAATTAAAGTTTCTCTCC